AAGTTTATTCCCAGAAACAAGATTTCATAAATTGACCACGGAGGCCATGAAAACGTAAGGAGGTCTGGTTGTTCATGAATGTATTTTTTGTGTCATAAATGTTATTGGCATAAACCTGAATTAGGTAACAGGTTCATGTTATATTACATCACAACTCAGGTTTATCTTTATGATATGTCCGCATCCATGAAGTGTTTTTTTTTTATCTGATATAACCTGATAAAATGAAGCCTCATCTGCAAACATCTAATGAATCCCTTCAAAGCTGCTGTTAAACTCTCAGACGTTTTGACAGTGCGACTGAGGAATGTTTTAATAAGGTGTCATTCAGTTTGTAGAGGAACTTGCCGGATGACATTCTGCTCATAGCTGTCTGCGTCTATGGAGCATCACACGCCCTGCCAGTGCAACACATCATGTACACTTGGAGGAACTGCGAGAGAAATGTTGTGCGTGTAGAGCAGAGGGAGAAAAGTAAGGCAACAGCTGTCGCTTCTTCTACTCTTATTGATGATCTATTGTAACCAGGTGACATTTATTCCAACAACATTTGGTGCTGCTGCTTCTGATCACCTTCGCTTTGATTCACCAGTCGATGCAAGGACGCAGCGTCTGGTCGTCTTCAGTCAATCATCAGGTCAGGTAAGAAAGGCAAGTTACTTCAAATGTGAATGTGTACGAATGATACATTCTTTTGGTTCTTTGCTCACAAGTCAGGTTAGAAGTTCATGGGTGCTTTATAAAATATTATCATACATAAAATGACTATAATTCCACTGTTTCTTTTACATATGTAGAATATTTCAATTGCAGAACATAAGATAATGACACCACTTCAAAAAACTGCAAACTGTTCACAGATTACAAAAGACATACTCAACAAATCTACTGAAATGAAAGGTGGATCTTATTCTCTAACTGGTTGAGTTTGTATAAATTGTTTGGACATTTTATGGGAAGCAGATCAGTTAAAGACAGCCAGCTGTTCTTGGCCTGAATCATCCAGGGCCAGTTAAGTTTCAAATGAAGATGAGGAGGAAATCTGCTCTCTTGAGTTTGACAGGCCTCATCGAAAGCCTTAAGTTTTGTCTCTGTTTTCAATCTCAGCTGACCCATGGAGGACAGAACAGAAAGCCCGAGAGCTGTGAAGGTGGAGGAGCATTCTCGGTGTGTCATCCTGACTTACTTCCAGGGCGACATCAACAGCATGGTGGACGCTCACTTCTCCCGAGCTCTCGGTAAAGTCTGCAAGGCCAAGGCTCCGGCAGTGAGGACAAAAAAAATGCGTAAAAGCATCAAACTTGGTGAGCACATAAGAGTGAGAACAATGAAACACGATAATCAGTTCTGTTCAACTTCATTGCATGGCTTTTCTTTTCTTCTGCCCCCCCGCAGAGAACACCAGCTCATGTCAGGGCAGTGCTGTTGACCCCTACACTGAGTCACAGGCCCCTCCTGCTGAGGGGCGTTTCCTGACATTCAGCCCTGCGGACGAAACCCCCCCCAGCTCATGGCACTCGCTCACAGCCCGGCCAGGAGAGGGCCCAGGTCTGCCGTCCATTGCATACTCCCTGACCCCACAAGGCTTGAGCCTAACTGGACAACAATACGCCACATCCCTGCTCAACCTGCTGCACAGTGACAGGGGTGAGATAGGACCCAGCATGGCCTCCAGCTCCAAGCCAGAGCTGCTCCCCAGCTGGACGGTGCCTCAGGGGTTCAGAGAGTCTGTGGACCCCACTGTGGGATTTGAACCTGGTAAGCCTGCAGCTGCAGCATCGGACCTCAGATGGAGAAAGCAGTAATAATAATAGAATTAGGTGCCCAGAATCCTGCGGTTTGAGAAAGGAACAAATCAATAATGTCATAGTAGGTAATGATTAGTTAATAAAAAATGACTGTTGATACTTAACATCCAGGTACTGGGTGGATGTTAAGTATCTGATGACTACATCCCCACATATCACACATTGCATATTGAAACTCCTTTCAGCTGCAGAGGCACATAACTAATGTTCATTGGCAATAAATAACTAACAAATAGCAAGTGCATTCTTCCTGGAACGCGTTAACAAATCATTTGGGTGACAGCTAAAAAACTAAAATATTTTACTTGTCATGTTCGGAACACATTCATGTTAATTTGTTGCTCTTGTTGCACATAAAGCAGGTATGCTGAAGTAAATCGTTACATAAAAGCAGTGATTATGTGAATTTATGCACCAGATTCAGAGTCAGTCAGTAGTAGAGGTAGAAAGCACAGAGGCACTTAAGTAGGTTATCATTGGACAGCAGACAACCTGTTCAGTGTGCCATTTAGATTCAGACAACTTCCTTGTTCATTTCCTTGTATCTGCACATGAATGTCTTGCATCTTGTTCTGTTACTGTAAAAAGATAAAATATATTATTAGGGCGTACTTTTGATCAGTGTGCTTGATTGCATAGAAATGCTGGGAAGTCATTGGCATTTTGTCTCCTCTCTGTCAGAGCGTCATCTAGACAAGAAGGACCTATACTGGTATTGAAGAGGGAGCGACTGGAGCAGTGGAGACAGTAACGTCTTCAACCACGCAACACTGAGTTACAACAGATGGCTTACTCTTCAGTCGAGGAGCTGCCACATGTGTTTCTGTCAAACAGGCCTCGGAGTGAGAACTCACAAAGACGGAAGGAACAGCAGCGCTTCCATTCCCCTGCCTCGCTCTCTGCACTTCTCAGTGAAATGACCTCAGCATTTATTAACTGGAACAAGCCTTCTGAAAGGGAACACTCTCTGACAAACCGGTTCTTCAACTCTGTCATTCCTCTGGTAGATCTCGGAGCACTGTATAGGTTGTTGCTCTCTTTGCGGTGGAGTCGGACAAAGGGAATTTTCTTGTATCTTATCTTAGTGGACCAGTAACTAGCCCAGTATTACATTGTAAACATACTGTATGTTGTTAATATCTCTCTGCAGTTCACCCGGATGAGCTTTAGTTTATTTTTCTATATACAAAAGGGGACAGTAATATAATCTTATTAAATTGCTTTCTGTAATTTTGTATCAAAAGTAAAGTAAAAGTATCAAAAAACAAACTTTTACTGGCTTTGAAAAGAAATTAACGCTGGATGGAAGACAACACAAATTGTAAAATTGTGGCACCTAGTGGCAGGTTGACACCATATTAAATATTCACAAGGCTACTGCAGAGTAAACTACTCAGCAGAATGAAGTAGTTAATCAGATTCACTGCACACCACTACTGCATTAAAGTAGCAATTATATGTTAATGTAGCACTAATACGAAATAAGATTAAAAAAAACTAATGGAGGCTCTTCTGCACAACAGATTATTTTACTTTAAATTTACTTTAAACTTTACTTTAAACTGTTTCCAAACTGTTGGCAGCAAAATCTTTGCTGCCAACAGTTTGGAAACTTGGAAGTCAGTTTTAATTGTAATCTGGTAGTTTTCTGGTGTTTTACTGCAACTTCTGCTAAAATGATATGATTTGAATACATCTTCCGCTCATGCACAGGGTTTATTTTTACTTATTGATAATGTGGACGTATACGGTGGTAAATTTTAAATGAATACACAGATGAGATCTTATGAAATAAAATGCCTTGTGAATAAATACAAATACTGGATGGTTAGTAAAGCACTTCTTGCAGTTTTTGTGCATAAACACAACAAACAAGTGTTGGATTCAGACCAGGATTGTTCCATTAACTCAACTGTGCATTTAGTATTGTAACCAATGACGACAAAGGTCCGGTGTACCCTGCCAGCATTGGGGCACAACTTCAGGAGATGCTCCAGTAGGTCGCATCAGAGTGTAGTGACAAATTACCAAGAAGGATTCATTGGAAATGTCTAAGGCATTGCAGTGCACAAAGTACTAAAACATTATTTTATATAAAAAAAAGTGGAAATTTGGATCAAACTGCCTAAAAAAAAAAAAACATGAGAACAATCTTAAATTTTTGAGAACCTAAAACAGTGAAGAGAAATAGACAAATGATCCTGAACTGTGATGTTATCAGGCTACTTCAGCTGTTACCAACAGAACCAATCAATCTATCAAATGTTGTTTGTACGGCCCCTATCCACAGATCACAATTTATCTCAAAGGGCTTAACAAGGTGTGATATCCCCTTAAACTCTCAAGTACAACATAATCCACGATCATCTGCCATCACCATCCACAATAATGAATCGTGATGGGGCCGGAGCTACAATCCTCAATCTGCAATGAAATCACTGAACAGTTAAAAAAGTTTATACAAGAATCTGGTTACTTAAAACTTTGTAAGAGAAGGGGGCGGCTAACAGAAGCACTGTTCTTTGGGTTCATGACTGTCTTTTTCAAATAACACAATCTCATTCTCTTTGTCAATGGACAAAGGGTCTGTTACTCTTGTTTTTCTTTATTTGAAAAATGCAGCTCCTTTAGCGTCACATTAGACAACATCATCAAAATAATGCATTCCAAACAAAACAATCATGATGCTGTCCTTGACTGCCTAAAAGGATTTGACAGACCTGAGGGACCAAGTATCTTCTCTTTGTTAAAATCATTCTTCATTGTAGCTGCTTCATGTAAAAGAAGAGGAAGGAGTATGAAGAAGGAAAGTTAGCAACCATATCACAGTTTGAGAAACACAACTAGTAAAGCAAACAACATCTACAGGATGTATATAAGAATATATACAAGATATAAAAATAAATATAAAAAGGGAGTAAAAATACTGTGTAAAGAGAGCATCTGAGTCTTCCTACTCAAGAGGAGTATAAAGGCAAGCGCCTATTAGGAGAACACTTTATTCCTCCTTGCTATACAGGATCACATGGAGTCAGTGGTGTAGCAAAGAATCAGGAACAAGCGAAGCTTGAGCAGCGCTGGATTGGAGAGATTTTGGCAGCTGCAGAAAAGCTGCAGTCCTGCAGGAGGCAGCCATGGATCCAGCTGCCTTGAAAACATAATCCCCTTCCTCCCTTGTGTCATTCATTTTCAGACTGATCTGAGACTGGTGTGGGGCAGGTATTGGGGTATAGGTTGGTGGGGGTGCATGGGGGGGGTTGCGATCATCAGTGATGACTGTCCATTGAGCTTTCTGCAAGCTAATGATGTGAGAAGACAGGGGCGGGGGGACACACCGACAACGGTGATAACTACATCTGATCGCACAGCACAGTGACGTCACCGCCCCCTCCTCAGTCACACTGTAATCTTTAGATTCCACAACTGCATCAAGGGCCGTGTTTAAAATAATGTTGGATTTTCTTTGTTATTAAAGGACAATACTTTTGCTGAACTACAACTTTCACAAGTATTATGGTACACTATAATATTGTCTGAACAATGCCATTGTGTTTTCTATTTTTAATTTAGACTGTATAAGAAGATGGAATACATGACGGCTCCCCAAAGTGAAGCCAGTGCATCTCAATCGACACCTGCTGGCTGACTGTAGTATAAGTCATAAATCCTGCCTCCTGGGATATGAACCAAACAGAAAAGTCAAAGCACACGTCAAATATAGTTTCTCAAAATGGCTTCTGTCATTTTAGAAAGAAACTTTTCATGTTTTATTAGTAACTTGATGATATAAAAAGTCCTGATTGACCGCTGAGACTGATATGTGATTTGCCCAGCATGTGTATCTGCAGTACCTCACTACCATGCCTCCATGCACTGATTGCTAAAACGCAGAAACAGGCACAAAATGCAAAAGATGTTAGTATTCCAAATATTCCAGCTAAATTCCTGAATAGTAAGAGATAGATAGACCAACGTTAATCTATGGTTTATTTCTGCACTTTCTTTCAGGCATCCATGTATTTCCATTGTGAACAAGGCAGCTGGGAGTGCAAATGTTTTCACTACATTGATCTGCTATAGTAAGTGAACTTTGCCAACTTAGATTTTGACTCTCTGCACGAATCATCTATCTTTAATGGGTCTGAAGTCTCCATAAGTTCACAGTATGCAGAAATGAAAAAGAAGAAGAAAGTCAGTGCTGTGAGGGAAATATTTATTTAGAGGACACGAAACACAGGTTGGCCGTGTAGAAAAGAAAATGCTGAACAGGTGGGAATCTTTCTTTGTTGGTGACTTACTTTGTGCAAAGTTGAGCTCCTACGCAGAGGAGCAGTCCTGCACAGAAAGCACCTCTGAATATGAAACGCACAGCTTAGCAAAATCATGCAGCCAAAGTTTATGTTTCTGAGGCGGAACATCACAAGTAATTCTGTCTCTGGTGTATAATTAGAAGTTCATTTTTGGACAATCGCTTGATCTGGCCTATATCTGCCATGAAAACTCCAATGGAAGGAATCCGATGGAAGTCAGTGTGACCGTGCGTAAAGCAATACATTGGAGGGATTTATTCTATTTACACAGGCAACAGGGATCAAAAGGACTCATTATAATACCTGGGGAGATTCTGAGGAGAAAAGAGAGAGAGTGTGGCAGAGAGAAGAGGAGAGAGGAGGTTGGGGGGCGGGGGTGCAGGTATAAAGAAGAGTAAAGGGCAAAGTCAACTCTCTCTTCTAACTGTGCTGTATCAGCCCTCACAACATGTGGAGCAGTTGCACTGGGGCTGTGCAGGACAGTGTGTGAGTCCGGCTCCTCTCCTGCTTCTCTCCTGCTCCTCTCTGGCACCTCTCCTGCTCATCTCTTGCTCCTCTCTCATGCTCCTCTCCGGCACCTCTCCTGCTCCTCTCTTGCTCCTGTCCAGCTCTTCTCTCCGGCTCCTCTCTTGCTCCTGTCCAGCTCCTCTTCAGCTCCTGTCTCCTGCTCCTCTCCGGCTCCTCTTCAGCTCCTCTTCAGCTCTTCTCCTGCTCCTCTCCAGCTCCTCTCCTGCTCTTCTGTGGCTCCTCTCCTGTTCCTGTCCTGCTCCTGCTCATTTCTCCTGCTACTCTCCAGCTCCTCTCCTGCTCTTTTCTCCTGCTCCTCTCTTCTGCTCCTCTCTCCTGCTCCTCTCCTGCTCCTCTCTCCTGCTCCTTTCCTGCTCCTCTCTCCTGCTCCTCTCCTGCTCCTCTCTCCTGCTCCTCTCCTGCTCTTTTCTCCTGCTCCTCTCTTCTGCTCCTCTCTCCTGCTCCTCTCCTGCTCCTCTCTCCTGCTCCTCTCTCCTGCTCCTCTCTCCTGCTCCTCTCTCCGCTATGGTCGTCCTCATACGCGGCTGCAACTTCAGCACCGCGGACAGCTCCCTCCCCACCTCCAGCCTCAGCACCGACCTCTCCCTGCGGGACTCCCCGGCGGCGGCGTCCCAGAGCCCCGGTGGCCTGAGCCGGAGCGGCCACACGGTGGTGGCCGTCTGCCTCGGCTTCATCCTGGTGGCGGGGATCCTCAACAACCTGCTCACTCTGCTCGTCTTCGCCAAGTTCCGCTCGCTGTGGACGCCCATCAACCTCATCCTGCTCAACATCAGCCTCAGCGACATCCTGGTCTGCGTGTTCGGGACTCCCTTCAGTTTCGCTGCCAGTGTGCAGGGGAGGTGGCTCATTGGGGAGCACGGCTGCAAGTGGTACGGCTTCGCCAACTCACTCTTCGGTGAGTGACACGTGAGAGCAGACACAAAACTTTATGACTTTTATGATGAATTCAGAAAGTTAAAAGTTCATGTTTGACTTTGATCAAGATGATTGTGGAATAAATAGTTAGACCTTTGATACTGTAGCAGAACCGTTGTTTAAAATGACTCAAGCCCTGAATTCAAAGTTTTACCAAAGTAAAAGTGCAAATCCATTGTCAGCTAATTATTAGATTGTCAAAAATAATCTTTAGGTCAAATATCAGGTGATAAAATGTTTTAATGATGATTTTGTTGATACAGACAGAGGTGGAATAACTTGTTAGATATTTAATAATTGTACTGTAGCAGTACTACTGTATAAAATCCCCTATTCAAAAGTCTGCAGTTAAAGTTTCACCAAAGCAAATAAACATCAGATATTAAAATAATCTTTAATAACGTCAAACATGGAGAGACTGATTATTTTGATGACTTAGTGATTTTGATGATGATGATTTTGTCAAGACAATGGTAGAACAATTATTTAGAGCTTCGATAGAGGAACTGTTGTGGAAAGATACTTATTCACAAGCTTAAGTCCTGAATTTAAAATGTTATCAAAGTTAAAGTGCAAATCCAATATCAGCTCAACATCAGATATCGAGGTGACTGACTTTGTTAAAGATGATTTTGATGATGATGATTATGTGAAAGATAGTTATGGGAGAAGTATTTAGATCATAGGACTGTAGCAGTATCATTGTATAAGATTATTTATTTACAACCTTAAATCCTGTGTTCTTAAACTTTACAATTCAAAACTCCAACGTGCAAATCTATTATCAGTTAAATATCAGATATCAAAATAAAAGCAAACAGACACTTTTCAGTAGTCCACTGGTTAAATTATTAATTGATCATGTTTAATTGTGTTGGTGTCAGATTCAACAATATAATTCTGATACTTGTAAGAACGCAGCACTGAGATTCACAACTCAGCCATAATGAGGTCACAGTTAATAAATGTGTTGGTTTAACCACTGGAGGGAAGTAGCTGAAATGCATTTACTCAGGTACTGTTATATTTTTTGTGATAATTTTCAGAGACAAAATCACATGTACCTCAAATTTTAACAGTACTTGAGTAGATGTACTTTACTTACATATTTTCCTCCACTACAACTGGTTAAATAAACCCAAAATAACCACTTCCGACAGTGTAGGTGTCACATTCTTCCATTTATTTCAGTTAATTGGCTCTTTAAAAGAACTAAGACCAAAGACATCAGCGAGATTCACAACAGGAAGCCAGCGACATTCATCTTGTGTCAAGGTGAGAATGACTCATGTCCGAGCTGTCATATGACAGACTTACATTAGTTACACAGTCATGACCTCCTCATCACATAAGCTTTCCGTTGAAGGCTTTCTGCAGCTGAGAAAGAAATGTGCATTCTGTTTATTTGTCTAATTGTGTGCTTTACAGACGCATAGAAAAATTTAAAGAATAAGTCATTAAGAAGACTTGAAGATTTGAAATGAATATCTGTACCTACTTTCATGGCGATCCATTCAGCAGCTGCAGAGACATTTCTCTTAAAACCATCAATATTAAACCTCATGTTGGAGGAAATGTCAGTTTATCAATGTCATTAGTTGCATCTGAACCGTGGAACATCTGCAGAAAATGTCATTTCAATTCATCAAACAATTGTTCAGATGTTTCAGTCTGGAGCAAAGAGGCGGTTCAGCCGACACTGTCGTTCTGTGAGCAGGTACTCAATGAAAAGGAACATGACAGCAGCTGATTACATGAGGATGGATTTTTCCTTGACGGTCTAGTGGCCATAGGGTTTCCTGTCACAATAAAAGAATGATGCTCACACACAGCTTTACATGAAAGTTTTGCAAAGTCAACGTATCACAAAAAACACTGAAACGTGTTTAAATTAGGACTTTTAAAATTGTTGTTCATTGATAAGAAAAAGCATCAACTTACATCAAGCAATACATTACCAATTAATGAATTCAACTATTTATTTCATAGTCTAGTTTCACACCCTTGAGCTGGGGGGCCTGATTTTATAGTGAACATATAGTCAGTAGGTTGATTCAGACAAACTGTCCCTCGTTCATTGGAACCAGTGTAAAGTTGTTTCAGGGAGAATGACAAGTATTTATTGCTTTCTTATAAACCTGATCTAATCTGGTTGTCTCCTCTCTTGCTCCATTAGGGATCGTCTCCCTGGTGTCCCTGTCCGTTCTCTCCTACGAGCGCCACACCACCGTGCTGCGTTCCTCTCAGGTCGACATCTCGGACTACAGGAAGGCCTGGCTCTGTGTCGGAGGCTCCTGGCTCTACTCTCTCCTCTGGACTGTCCCGCCATTCCTGGGTTGGAGCAGCTACGGGCCTGAGGGTCCGGGCACCACATGCTCGGTCCAGTGGCACCTCCGCTCGCCCACCAGCGTGTCGTACGTGTTGTGTCTCTTCATCTTTTGTCTCCTGCTGCCCCTTCTGCTCATGGTCTACTCCTATGGAAGAATCCTGGTTGCAATCAGGAGGGTGAGTGCATCCCAGTCTTGCACACTCCTGGTCAACATGTCTGAGGACTGAAATCACACAAAACATGTATGTAAATATAAAGCATAAGTAATGAATAGTTTCTTTGTCAGTTTCATTTATAAGGGATGTAAAATCTCAGAAGACAAGAAATGTTGACATACCAGTTGATGCCCCCCACAAACTTTTTAGTTTAATCTTCAGGTAAAGTAGAAAGCAGAGACACTAGACATATACAGTACCTGCAACAAGAGGTCACGTGACAACCCAAATTAAATAAAGAATAAACTTTTTTTTTGAATCAGGGCAAACAAAACAAGTTTAGGTCAAGGGACATAGCATAGTTTTTGGTGTTTTGTGTATTAAGCACATTATTTGTCATTATTGTGCAGGTGGGAGTGTGAATGCAATGATATGAAATAGCACACGGAAAAAAAACACAGAAAACAGATTGCAGATCAGATTTAAAGCAGCTTGAATCTAAATTTAGAGACCGTGTGCTTTCTGGCTCTTGGCTCTTGTTATGTCACAGAAATAGGTGTGACTGTATTGGTGTCATTGTTTTTGACATGGATGAACATATTGTACATACACTTGGCTACATTACCCTCGGCTGTGTTTCAGCCTGACAGTAAACAACACACACACTTATAAAGGTTCAGTGTGAGACACATAGGGCACAGGTCTGTCATTTGCTCATAAGATCGCAGCTCGGAGGTCCCATCAACACTCAGTCATGTGTTTTTGAGATAATTTCGATGAGCACCGAGGCAGATAATCCCAGAAGCAGCAGCTCAGTGTTTGCTATCAAATGTATCCAGCATGACGGATCGAGCAGCGACATCTTCGGGCGAGGTTTCAGAGCCTTGCTTCGCTCCTGACGCCAATGACCCCCCTCTCATTTTCCAGATAGTGACTCATCTGCACCTCAGTGTGGGTTACGTAAACCTGCCAGTAAAACAATTCAGTTATAATAAAGAGCAATCAAGTGATGCTGGGTGCCTCTGTGCACTTTTCTGCTGCCAGTCCTATTTATCAATCAGCTATGGGAGGTATTTTTAGATCAGGGAAGCAACCTGTTGCTAATGGATACCTGCTTTTATGCATGCCCCTCAATGTCTTTTTAGTGCATCCGAGGGAGTCAGTTCATGGAAGGGTTTTGCAGACTTGATTACTGTATTCCCTCGAATGGGGGCTCAGCTACACACCTGTCACCCTCTGACTGAGAGCTCTTTTCTTAGAAACTGAGCGATCAGTGTGTGGATTCTTCAATCAGCTTCTCCGAGGTGACTGAACCGCATACGTCAGAGGGACGCATGACATTTTTTATCAGCAGCATCAGTGTGGGTCAAGCTTGGATTGATTGTTCTCTGCTTGGCAACATCGCACTGAAATTGTTTTCATGATGCTGTCGACAAAACTTCCTCTAAAAACCCACACAAATGTATTCTCATATAACTGTTTATAGACAATGGAGACATTTAATGACAAATTCTTTTTCGATTTTATTCCAAGACTAGAATCTTACTCAGTAGACCACGAGGCCAAACAGTCTCTAGATGAATTCACAAGATTTTTAAAATTGCACACACAGTTCCCTAAACATTATTATAAACCTGATTATTTTCATTAAGACCATGAATTATCCCTGGATCTGCCCCCTAATCCAGATCTGAACCCATATTTGACAGGTCCTTCCATGACTCACTCACCACATTCTTTGTTTCCTGGAAATCAGTTCAGTAGTTTTTGCATAATCCTGCTAACTGACCAACAAAAAATGAAAACGTAATCAAAAATCATTTATTTCCATTCTTCTAGGGAAGCACATTTCTATAAATTATGTTTGAAATGAAACTATTAAAACCAGTTATTATTGTGTACACTTCTCTGTGGAAGACACTGCTGATTGGACATTGTCGGAGTAACTACAACAGGACAGACAGGTGAGGGTCTATAGATGAGGTGTAACAGTGTGAAAGATAAGTCATTTGACATGAGCGGCAGGTTTTTTCCTCCTTCACCAGACGTTCTGACACGAAGCACCACGATGAGCTGCACGATGGTAATCACATAATGAAGTCGACTCAGGGGAATGAAATCAATACTGAGGAAGTGGCAGCCACAGCGGGTGACATGTTGCTTTTACAAGCGGCCCATGATATTCAGTATCTGAGCTAATTTTAGCCCTCAGCTGCACTAGAGTGGGAGAAACCAGCACATCTGACGTAATGACAGACAGTGGAGCTGCTGGACATGCTTCAACCGTGTAGTGTTTATTTAATGAGTGTCTCTATGGTTACTGTGACATCTCCATTACTGAGTCTGACATGTTCGATTCCTGTCACACACTACATGTGAGAAATTCACACTTCCTCCTCGTTTTCGTTTCGTTTTGAGCACAAAATAAAAACTAAAAATTTGCAAATATAATGCAAAGTAGATGAATTCACACACTGAGTTCAGTTTACTTGTCGTCTATGTAAAATGCTTGAAAAATACAAGATCCATAAACCTAAACTTCCCATTAAAAGATTTGTTTGCTGCCAGCCGACATTTAAAGTTCTACTCAGACTTCTACCCACAATCCATTTAGAAGAAATCAAGTGATGTCAAGTCAAGTCAAGTCAACTTTATTATCAATAATGCCATATGTGCAGGACATACAGAGAAGTGAAATTGTGTTTCACTCTTATCCCCGGTGCAAACAGCATTAAACATGAAATATAAAATATARGTAAGTAAAAGATATAAAATAAATATWAAAAAATATAWACAAGCTAAAAGATATCTAAGAAAAAGACAGTGGCAAATCTAGAAGATATAAAAAGTATAAATATGGCAAATATGGCGGTATGAACGGAATTAATGGTATAAACAGAAACAACAGTCTGACAGTATAGGTATGACAATATAAACTGGATTATCAGTGAAATATAAATATGGCAATATGGCAGTTTATATATGTCTGATATATGTATCAGCAATACAGAATATACACATATCAAAGTATATATTCTAATATATATACAAAGAAAAATGGTGCACAATAAACCCCGATTCTGATTCTTTCTCTGCAGGTGGGTAAGATCAACCTGCTGGCCGCGCAGCGCAGAGAGCAGCACATTTTGGTGATGGTGTTGTCCATGGTTTCCTGCTACATGCTGTGCTGGATGCCCTACGGAATCATGGCCCTGATTGCCACCTTCGGTCGGCTGGGACTGGTCACTCCCATAGCCAGTGTGGTGCCCTCAGTCCTGGCCAAGTTCAGCACCGTCATCAACCCGGTCATCTACATGTTCTTTAACAACCAGGTGAGAGACCAGGACTGAAGGACGCTCTGTAAGATCTGTTCAGCTGTGTCTGTAAACTGTGAAGTGAAGAGGGGAAGCTCAAGCTTGTCACTCTCAGCATTTCTAGATAACAACTCATCAGCTGTTACGATGACGAGCTTCTGTTGAGGCATAAGTGAGGAAACGTCCTCATCAATTCGGCAAATACGCAAAATGAACTAAATAGAAATGTGCTGGAAGTAGCACAAAAGTTTTCTCTCCCACACGTAAGAGCTTTCCTTCCCCTGCAGCCATATATGACCATTTGTTGCTTCCATAGACTGCTCCCCCAACGCATAAATTCTCCATGTTAATCGATGGGACATGGACCAAACTAAAAAGTCAAAGTACACGTTACACCAATTTTTCTCAAATATGTCCTGTGTCAGTTTAGATAGTTCTGATCACACTGATGTTTGTCCAAGTGCTTCATTTTCCACTGGGTTTGGTTTTAATTCGTTATTTAATGCAATACAAATGGGTTGAAACATCCTGACTGACAGCTGACACTCACTCATGATTGGTCAAGTGAATGTGTTGCCGTACGTGATAATGATCAAATGTATCAAAGATGCTCCGCAACCAAATTACTCTCAGTTTGAGCTTGGATGACAAAGATCTTATGACCTGTAAATCACCCAAACACCACGTCAACGCTCACAAAGACTGATCTTCCTGTGTTTTCTGGTTTCCACAGTTTTACAGATGCTTTGTGGCTCTGATCAAGTGCAGTGATGAGCCTCAGTCTGTTCATGAAGAAGTGCACCCGACCCCAAGGACCCCACTCTCAGGCTTTTAGCCCTTCCACAAACATCAAGCCTCTCTCAGCGCCGCACAACCCTCCAATTCACAGCAGCTCCAGAAACACTGCCCCCTGCAGCCGGCACAGTGAACATCACACACTTGTTGTTCATTCCACTCCTTAGGAGGTTTTTCAACAGTGACTGTTGACATTAAAACAAAGTAGTTTTTTTGTTTTTTTATGAATGTCTACAATCCAAAGAGCAACTCAAAGATCATTTTACACGTGATGAAGAACTCTTAAACGTTTGAATGTAAACTCAGTGACATGCGGTTCTGCTTCAGTTCACATTGCACCTGGTCACGTGCTGATCGTCCATATATGATACTGCCAATGTACAGCACATGCTAAGAATGTCATTATGTATGAGTTTGCAGCTTGACTGACCAAGTTAAAGCAGCCTCTGAATATTCATGCAGATGCTCATGAAATTTGAAAATCAATGAATGTTTCTTGTGGTTTGCATAAGAATAAAATTCACCTGGACCTCTTAGTTAGAAGTTTGATTCTGATCCTGTCTTGATCTTCTTTTGTTTCAGTTTCTATAATACAAGCAACAACAGGAAACAGAAGAATCAGTTGTTACAATAGAATGTTGTGTAATACACCATTTAATGGAGAGTAAAGGGAATAATTTAAACTAACACAGATCCTGGTTCAACTGTACATAGTGTCTGGTATTAG